TGTTGTAAATGTAAACACAGAGAAAAGATTCAAAGTATTAAAAATATTGGCAACAAAACATGAAAACAGTCAAACTTTAAATAAAAAAAATAATACAAAGAGAAACATACACGGTAGGTGAAGCATATGAAAAAAAAAAACGTGTTTGCTGATGAATGGAGAGCTACATAGGCTGGCTGAGAGAATATGTTATTCCTATAAATAGTCAATTGTGATTTTCCAAGCTTAGCTTAGATGTGGCATAAGGTTGAAAGCATGGGGAACCCAGTGAGAATCGAACTCACTACATAGTCGTAATTGTTCTAGCGAGACAAGCTTGCTAACCATTACACCGCCTTGAAATATCCCCTATAAGTGCTCAATAGGAGGATAGTGAAGGAATATTTTGGGTTAGTATTTCACGTTGTAAAATTATAGGTACTTACAAATTTGGTAATTTTGTCAAAATAAATGCAGAAAATTATTTCTTAGGCAAAATATCGTTTGACTAGAAAAGGTCCGATTTAACTAAGACGGTTAGTCTGATAAACTATGTCAGACTCAACACTTCGGTAGGTCTTTTTTTTATAGTAAATTTTAAGGCCTGGTGGGCTCTCAAAATAGAGGGTTACGTTAAGGGATAGTTTATATGAATTTGAGTTAATTAACCATTATGTGGTGTAATGATTAATAGGGCTCTCTCGCCAGACCAATTACGGCTGAGTAGTGAGTTCGATCCTTACTGCGTGCTTCAAGCTTTCGACACTGTACCACATCTAAGCTACGCTTAGAATAATGATAAACCACTTGCGAATTTTGCCAAGAAATAAAGTTTTCAATTTTAACATTGATTTTGGGATATATTCGGGGCGGTAATTTTACTTAATAAACATTTCTGCCATGGCTGTGTGATCTTTAAATTTTTTTATTATTTCTTTTCGAGAAGAAATTAATAATAGATTCAGATTTTTTTTGCGAACACATCTAAAAAGAAAAGGTGATACTTAAACAGAATGATTTACCATGAGTTCTATCATTTATCATTTCTTTGATCTTCCTGCGATCATTCATAGATTTAGTCTGGAGACTAGATATCGAGTTTTACACACACACACACACACACACACATATATATATATATATATATATATATATATATATATATATATATATATATATATATATATATATATATGGAGTGTGTGTGTGTGTATGTGTGTATAAAGATAAAAGGAAAACTCATCGTAGCCGATGCGTTTCGTCCTCTGATGGATTTATCAACACATATGTGAGGATTTTATTTTGCACCGAGTATAATTTGTTGTCAGTTTTACAATACTTTTAAATTTAAGAGACGCTTATAAATATTCATTAGGTTAACTGAAAAGTCTAGAAAAATTATGGAGGATGCTAAGTGACGCAATTTAATGTCTGATAAAATAAACTGAGTAAATGATGTTGTTGAACTTTTTATGCAATCAATATTTAAATAATTTTAGTATCGAAAGAATTACACATATCCCAAGTCAATATATATATCTATAAAAATGTTAAAATTAAAAAAAGAAATCAATTATATATATATGTAATATATAAATTTATCCCATACTAAAATAATTTCAATGAGTTTGCTGAATAAACAGAAATGTTCCTGTAACATTGATTGACTAGCCACCTAGATTCACAGAGAAAAATCCAAATGATGAAGTCGGAGGAACGTGCAGGCGTTGGAACCGGATCTCCCCTACCTATCCATTTTCATGTACATATCGCGAAGAATGTAACTAAAATGTGCTGGAACCCCATCATGTATGAACTATATGCGTCTTCTTATTAGCAGGTGTACATCCTCTAGCAAGTCTGGAAGTGTGTTCGAAATAATGTGTCTGTAGATAGAAAGATGTGCTGGGAGACCATGCGAATCTATCAGATCGTCACCTACAATTCTAGGCCACGCATTACTCGTAAACTGATGCTGGTGTTTAGCCTGTATTGCAACATGGGGGAAGAGACAAACAACGGATCGGCAGTTTAAGCAATAAACCATCGGCAAAAGTTCTCCCGTGGTGAAAGATCCTGTACATGAGAGACTAGATATCGAGTTTAATGTCTGATTAAATAAACTGAGTAAATGTTGCTGTTGATACAGGAGCCGCTCTTTAAACATCCTCTATGTGGTTCTATGAAAAATACGATATTCTATGGCCACTCAACGTGTGTTGATCGTCTCCGACGGCCTGTAGAATGCGTTATTTGTGGTCAAGCGTACGAGTGAATCTCAGTCTTCCTCGATCCATAGTTTGTGGTGCCATGAATAATGTTTCAAGAACTCGACAATAAACAGCAGCAAAGGTTGGATAACTCGGCGGCCTTCAGTTGGAAACGCACTCTGATACAGTCATGCAGCCTCGATTACATTACCATTCACGCAGCCGTATGTGAAAATCATATCTACCTGCTCACGATATGAATATCTTAAACGGAACACTTCTCAGTTAACTCACTACTACACGCGTTAAACGTTGAAGACAGACTAACCACAAATGTATACGAATATATATTGCAACACAGCGCCATCTACCGTAAACTTGCTTTAAACTTAATAATTCCAAAAGGAAGAATTTGCGGACATACGTTTATATGAACTGTTGGCCTTGTTTTGCTGGGAGGAACTCGCCCCCTAAGTTTATAAAAGTATTTTTGATACACCCTGTACAAACTAACAGTTTTTTTTTCTGTCTTTCTTTATATATGCGCATAAATTTCTGTGCATGTTCATACACACACATAGGTATGTGTCTGTGAATGCCTCTGTCTCTGTGTGTGTGTGTGTGTTATATGTGAGTGTCATTTTGCGCACGCCAGTTTTCAAGTGCATCAGTCCATTGAAAGAGAATCTTTGTTTCTATTTGTCGAGATTTTAGGAGAGGCTACGAATTAGCTTAAAGGTTAAACTGGAATGGAAAGTCAGAAATAAAAAGGAAGGTTTCTGCTATTTTTTGTTGTCGGACCAGCGAAGCTCATTGAAAGTTAGTCTTCGTTCTTCAACGAAAAGGACATTTGAAAGCTAAATCAAAATTTACATCGCACCAGTTCCATTTTGGAATGGTTGGGCCTTAACCTATATTTAACCAACGGAGTGCAATTCTTGAAGGAAACAGATTAGTAGTGAAATAAAAGCAACTGTATATTCTAACTATAAGTAGGAAGTGAAAGAGTATATAGCTCAAATCTTACAAGAGGATCCACTTTTCTGAATTAAAGAAATCAACAGCGACACACACACACACACATCACACTTCTTTTCACTTACAGTACCCGTGTGTCCCAAGTAGTCCTCCGTCTACGTACTGACTCTTGTTTATCTTTGGTGATCAAAAGTGAACGCGTTTTTAAACATTAAACATTTCTTGCTTATTGCCTGAAAGCACCGGAGCTAGTGAAACGGCTGTAACAGAAAGGTTAGTTTTTCTACGAAATTTTATGCTTTATATATTTCTTTCTAAACGCAATCGTCGGGCATGATTGCTTTCAGTATGAAACAGACTGTCACCTCCGAATGTTAAATTCAATGTTCACTTTTAGATTTAGATTTACATACACTGTATCCCTGATATTGAGCATAAATATAGTATATCTTAAAAGTATATTTTATCATATATATATATATATATATATATATATATATATATATATATATATATATATATATATGTGTGTGTGTGTGTGTGTGTGTGTGTGTGTCATTCTGAAGTCAAGGAGAAATGGTGCGTTTTTCGTAGCTCCCAAAAAATTAACGGATTTTAATTTTAACTGAAAACAACATAAATATGGATTAAAAGTAATATAATGATTATCTAATTTTAATACACTTCGTAATTAAAATTCTTTTATTTCATTTATTATATACAGTGCTGTTCAATAAAAGTGACTCACCTGATTTTTTTACTTAAAAATTTTTTCGCCGATTGTTTTTGGGGTAAACTAATTTTTAATCCTACTAATATAAAGACCACTTCCCGACCACCTAGTAAAAAAGTTTACTCACCCTAAGGTATTCTATTGATAATTATAATTTTGGATATAAATGAGATTTAGGGAAAAACTCTGTGCAAAAAAGTGACTCGCTTATTTCCTGCAACTAGTAATCAATAGAAACATAACCGAACAGCTTTAAATAAAGAATAATAGAGGTATAATTTATTTATAATAGGTAATATAGTTCGAAATATTTAATAATCTATGGGTCCTCCTTTATTTTGAATAACCTTTTCAACCCTTTTTGGCATTGACTTGATTAGCTTCTGGCAAATCTCATCTCCAAGCATTGAATTCTATTCGGATATGAAATTCACAATCAAATCCTCTTTGTTGCTCAACTGCTTTCTCGAGAGCCTATACTTTATAATGCTCCATAAGTTTTCTATGGGGTTGAGGTCAGGAGATTGGGGCGGCCATGTCATAACACTCACCTGCTTCTCCTCAAAGTATTCCTTCATCAATTTTTATTTGTGACAAGGAACATTATCCTGCATAAAAATGAGCTTGGTTGGGTCGATTTGCACCCTTTCAGCAGAAGGGAGCAGACAAGACTCTAAAATTCTCTTGTACTGCTCGCTCCTGAGGGTCTTTCAATAGGTTTTAAGAAACTTGTTCCATGAAAAGAAAAGCATCCCCAGAACATTATACTAAACGGATGTTTGACAATACTTACTGCTAAATTCAAAGAGCTTTCAAAGCTACTTCTTCGGATTTTAGATCGCTTATCCTTTGAATTTAGCTCAACTTTCGTTACATCGGAGAAGAGAACATTTAGTAAAAAAATCAGGTGAGTCACTTTTATAGCACAGCACTGTATATCCTGATTATTATATTTTGAAGTTATACAGTATATATGTTTATTATAATTTCTTTCAAAATTTTCCGCGGTTATATTAAAATCTATTAAAATATAATAGGGTTTGGTTATATAGAAATCGACAGATCACTTAAAGAAGGTATTTACAAAGATATGAACAGGATCAGATAGATAGATAGATAGATAGATAGATAGATAGATAGATAAACAGACTGTGATAGATAGATAGATAGATAGATAGATAGATAGATAGATAGATAGATAGACAGACAGTGATAGATAGATAGATAGATAGATAGATAGATAGATAGATAGATAGATAGTGAAGTAAAAAAGAAAATACGAGGAGGATTAAAAAAGAACTGTCAGAAAACCGGATAGAAAGAGACAAATTATAGAGAAATGAAAGAAGCATTGAAAGAAATTGGTTGCTGGATTCTTCTAATTTTGAAGAGTCAGCAGAATGAAATTTCGAATTCCTCCAATCGCGTTTTCTTAAACGAGAGAGAGAGAGAGAGAGAGAGAGAGAGAGAGAAACATTAATTAAAAATTTCGTTTCGCCTGAGCTTTCAACTTTTAATCCATTTCGCTTTTTGAAACGTAATCTAGCAACAGTAACCAACTTACAACACAGGACGTCACACGCAAACCTCCACATCTCACCACCCACATAAGCACATTTATTCTTTATGCCTAATTGCATTTCAGATTTACTGTTTCAGGTTTGCATAAATCTCATTAAAAAGGTGTCATGAATTTTAAATATAAAACACAGCCTTATATATATATATATATATATATATATATATATGTATGGTATGACATATATATATATATATATATATATATATATATATATATATATGATATGTATATATATATATATGTATGTGTATGATATATATATATATATATATATATATATATATATATATTGGTTTGTAAAAAAGGTTAGTAGTGTTTTTTCAGTGTCATTTGCAAACGTGATTTTGTTTCACAAGTCAATGAAATTTAAAAGATAAATATACGTATTCTGCAAGTTGACATTTCACCGAGTCTTTCTCTATGATTCGTATGTGTTTTAGAATTAAATGTTTTAACATAAATAGTGAAAAATTATATATATTTTCGTCATTTGCTGCTCTTTCATGTTGAGCGAAACAAACGCTGTACAAACAATAAAACAATTTATGTGCCGTTTATAGAAATAACACCAGAACGTAGGCCACCCTTCGTAAGTAGAAATTATGCTCAATAAACCGAGAAATTTCCGGCAGGCCTGAAGACCTCGATGATGACCCAATCTAAAAGCTGGTAAAAAAAAAAGTAGTACAGGTCATATTTCACGGTTCATCGCAGAGATAATCCATATGTCTCATCCGAATTTTGTAATGCATATGAAGAGACTTCGATATGTGAATTGCTATGATGTTTAAATCGCTCACAATTTTTCGGAAACGCATTTAATGGGCCGTATTTCCATCTGCAATTCCATGCACGGATGTAGTGAAAACAACACATGAAAAATGGATTATTCATAATATGTGGAGCGAAAAACGTCATAGGGAAAACGAAAAAACCGGGTTGCATCCGAAGGTGATGATGTTTATTTAGTCGGGTTGGACAGGCATCCTGTATTACAAATTCTTTCTGAAAAAAAAAATGACGTTGAATTCAGACAATTTAGAGAACTGGAAACAAAAAGAAAACCAATACTTAGCATCAAGAAGAGACAGTTGAAGTTTTTGGGACAGATAATAAGAAAAGAAAGTTTGGAAAATCTGATACTCACGGGACAGATTGAGGGCAAGAGGGAGACAAAGCACATTATGCTTAACGAGCTCCAGTAAATGGATGGCAGAACAGGGCTTAGGAGAAATAACAGAAAGACGAAGTTTATTAATAACTAAAAGGGACAGGACGTTATGGAAAGGAATGAGGTGGGGAAGGGTGGGGTAGGGCACATAAAAAAAGAAGAACCGTTCCCAGCTGAAGCGATTAAAGACAGCAATCAATGAAAAGTGGACAACGCTAGATCTCATGTGTCTTTTCCAAGCCCGGCAGAAATTGGTACAATTCGGCTGGCAATGTCCTACCACATCCGCCATATTTATATGACCTTTCATCTTCAGATTATCACTTATTTCGATCCGTACGGTATTTTTTTTTACCATGGGAAAAATTTTTGACCGGAGGGTGCTGTAAAAACCACTTTGGGCAGTTCATTACCCAGAAGGATGCCAAGTTCTAGCAAGGAGAAGCTTCCCCAAAAATGGTGAAAAGTAGTGAAACAAAATAACAAACATGTCGTTGAATGAACCTATTGGCAAATATTTTTTGCTTTGGAATCACTTCACCCCAAGTAAGGCAAAAAAACTATTAAGACACAAGGGGTCACTGAGTGTGAGAGAATATGAAAAGAAAAATAAAGACTATTAAGCAGAGAAGACAATAAAAGAACAAGAATTAAGAGATAATGAAGATTTTTAGTCCAAACTCACTTTCATTTTAATCATTTCACTCCATGAAAGGCACTACAGCCACTAAGACGTAAGAGGTTACAGAGAATATGAGAAAAAGAAAGCATTATTAAGAAGAGAGATATAAATACAAGAACGGGAATTAAGAAGAACGAAAGTTAACGATTGACATTGCATTTAAATTTTTGAAGATCAAAGTTGACTGGGAAGCAAGAAGCCGGAAGTGAGTTCCACAAGCGAGTATTACGATAGAAGGAACATCTAGCTCTTTCAACTGTAAAATGACGAGACCTTGCTTCCAATCTAGTACTGAACATAGTTTCATAACGTCTAGGTACCATAATGAAAAGTTCATCAGAACAATAACCGCAAAAATATTTATAGAAAAGATACAGGAAATCTACGTTATGGCGTTGGGAAAGACGCTGAAACCGAGATGCCAGGCCAGGAACAATAACATTGCATCTAAATATTGCCGGCAATCTTTGACCTTCTTGAAGCTTGATTTATCTGATCAACACTATTCTATTTGACCATCTAGTCACGTCAAATCAACTATGTCCGATTTGATCACTTTGGTAGTTCTGGACAATCTCTGATCAGTTCGGTTTGTTTGATCAACGATATATTTTTTGTTCATTTCCGTAGGTCAAATCAGCTGTGTCCTCGGTATGTCTGATCAAAATTGTTCGATTTCATCACCTCAATAGGTTATATCAACAATCTCCGATTTATTCACCACGTTAGGTCAGATCAGCAATGTCGAATTTAATCAACTTGGTAAGTCAGATCAACAATGTACAATTTGAAAACCTCAGTAATTCAAATCAACAATGTTCGATTTGATCGCACTGTGAGTCATATAAGAAATATCAGATAGGTAGGTCTTATAAAAAAATATTCGATTTGATCACCTATGTTGATCTCAGTTAATCTGATTAACAATGTCTGATTTTAACATTAATCAAGTATAAGAAGGAGATACCAATTCAGAATTTTCAGTACTTCATTGGTTTTTGAAATATGGGAATGGAGTCATGACTTTCAAACATGAAAATGAGGATGACCTGACACATTTTCGAATGATCAACTGGAAAAGTTTCTGAAATATTAGCCTCAACAAAATACTTGAGATGTCCCAAGAATTAAAAGAACACATACACGCACATATATATATATATATATATATATATATATATATATATATATATATATATATATATTCATCCATAGACAGACTGTTTCGCTGTATCACAGCTCATTAACGTGGATAGACATCCGACTTTTTCAAGACGGAATCGAAACCAGACCGATATGGCATCAGCCAGATATTCTACCTCCAAGCTATCGTCGCAAGGCAGAGCGAAAGGGAAATTTAACGTTTTCACTATGCGAAAGACGTCAGTAGCTATGACTGCTCGATCCGAGTAGAAGACCATTGCATTAGCAGTAGCAGCCAGTGTTTATAAATCACTCTTTCCTCTCCTGGATCTTAATCGAATTATTTCGAGAGCATATATATATATATATATATATATATATATATATATATATATATATATATATATATATGTGTGTGTGTGTGTGTGTGTGAAGGCTATCATTTAAAAGTTGATATATTTGTTGCAGTAAATATTTTCAGTACCTGAGTTACCTAGCGTTTGTAAATGTTAAGAGTGTGGACGTAGGAATCAACATTGTATGATCTCTCTCTCTCTCTCTCTCTATATATATATATATATATATATATATATATATATATATATATATATATATATATATATCGTCATCCGACTGGTTCACTGTATCACAGCTCATCAGTGTGGCTAGACATCCGATTGCCTTAAGCCGGGATCAAATCCCAACTGATTTGCCATCAGTCGGAGATTTTACCCCTGTGCTATCAGCCCGGTAGAGCGGAAGGCAAATTTATACGTACCTATTTTTCGAATAAACACACCAATGACCGAGAGGGCTCAAATCATAAAAGAGCTTTGCAGTATTAGCAGTAGTAGTCATTGTTTACATAATTCGTGCTTTCTCTCCAGAGTGCTCGACCGGAATTAAATTTTCTGGGGTCATATATATATCGCCATCCATAGACAGACTATTTCGCAATATCAAAGCTCATCATTGTATATATATATATATTTACTTTCCAGAGTCTCTAAAACGGACGCTTTGGGCATCACCCCGTCTATTCGTCAAAGGATACATGAGATTGTATTCGTTGATTTAACTAAATGTTTACACTTCTTGGGTTATTTAATATCGAATATGTTTTATAGAACAAAAATGACAATGAATTGTTAGTCACACACAAACACACATATATGACTAAATAAGAAACAAACAAAAAAAACCTTTATAAATTTGACATGTTTCGATAATTGATTGTGGCTTTATTAGAAATATTTCCGGAATAAGGAAGAACACGTGAAATGTTTGTTTTCATTGGTCAAATAGATATTGCATTTTCATATTTTGTGGTGTTAGTATGTGTTGATTTGCATGTGTAAATGTATGTTTGAATTCTTTTTTCGGGAATGTCTCACAGTGTCTGTACAAGACGAATTTTTTTCATTTGTCGCATATTTAATCATTCTGTCGAATTTAAAACATATTTTTAATTCACACACGCACAAACACACCCACGCATGCAAGCACACAGACACACAAAACAAACATATGTGTGTGTGTGTATGTGCGTGTGTGTGGACTGAATATATATAGAGAGTTTAGCTTGTTTTGTTTTACGGCATATCAACCTCAATGGATTACTTACGGTATGTCAACCTCAATCGATTACTTACGGTATATTAACCTCAATGGATTACTTAATGCTGGCAACTTTTTTTACCTGGTAATATTTTGTCTTGTCAAAAATCTATTTCTGGTAATATTTATTTGCCCAAAAATTTTATAGCTGGTAATATTAATTTTAAAAAAATATATTGCTGGTAATATTTTTTTTCAAAAATATATTGCTGGTAATAGTTTTTTTCCTTCAAAAATTTATTAATGGTAATAATTTTTTACGAAGTATTTCTGGTATTAAAACCTAACAGGTGCTACCACCCCGGATCAGAGTGGATCTGGGAACATCAGCAATTAGGAGGTAGTTCCACGCTCCTCAAAACCTCCTGATCAGAGGCCTTGCTGTTGGACGTAGTTTATC